AGGAATGTGCGACAGAGAGCTGAGCCCGAACGGAGCTCGCTCTGTTAACGGGCGGGTGCCTCCTCGGTAGCTCCGTGTCTGCCTTCCTGCTGTTGCCCTTCAGTGTGGAGTACTGATCTCGGAGCAGGAGGAGGCCAAACGGCCTCACTGAGGCTCGCGTGTCATGTAGCCATCACGTGTACGCGTTTCCAGAAAATACGCCCTCAGCAATGAGTAATTTTTTAGTAAACCATTTGTTCTCGCTTGGTGACATGCAGACTCTTTCAAGCCCGTTTCCTGAGGGAACAGGGCTTATGTGATCATTCTTGTCTGCTGACCTGCCCTTTCTAGGACCTTTTGGAGTCGTTCAGATGATTTCTGTCAAAGTTTTGAGACCTCACAGATACAAATTTTTGAGTGGTTTGTAAACTGGTCCTCGTGGAAGGGAGAAACCCGGATGAGCGCCTGCGCTGAGAGGAAAGCAGCAGCGCGTTACTCAGCAGCCATCGCTACCCTGAACGCGCCTGGCTGGCGAGCCACGAGCTCCAACCCTGCCTGGCCCGGCTCGGCTGGGTGTCTTAACTGCTGGGCCCACGAGGGACAGACTGTGGGTGCTGTGACACGGGGGGGGGGAAGCCTGAACTGGGACGTGGGGAAGGGAAAGCGGCCGCTGCAGTAGGGAAATAAGATGAGTCTTTAACAAACTAGGCTTCGCTTCCCCTCAGTGCTCGGAGAGCAATCTGCTGTTTGCTTGCACAACTGGCATTCAGGTCCTTCTCTTCCCCTCCCTGTGTCTTGACAGAGATAAAAATGAGGTTATTTTTAGATAACTGATGAAAAGACTATACAGAGTTTTCCTTTGGGTTTTTTTTTGTGGTGCTCTTTTACGTTGTTTCCTCAGTGAGGATGCTGCTGGTCTGTTTCAAGGCTCGTTCCAAATAATGCATTCATTGTGTTCCCTGGATAATTTCTGCTGTGTAGTTCCGAATATTCTGCGAATAAGCAAAAGCTTGTCCTCCTCGTCGCAAATTCAGATGAAAACAAATACTTGAATCTTTGATGATTGTTACCAGAACCACTCTCAACCTCATTCCTTAAAATGAACGTGGTTTTGAACAGCTTCAGAGCGCTTAGCTGTCTCTGTTTCTCACTAGGATGCCGGTCAGAAGCATTTTGGTGCCGTGGTTTGCAAGTCGTGCGGCATGATCTACACGGCCGCTAGCCCGGAGGATGAAGCCCAGCACATCCAGCACCACGAGAGGTTCCTCGAGGGACTCAGATATGTGGTAAGGCGATGGCTGCGCTCGCAGCTCAGCTGAAGAAGATGGGGCCGGGGGGGGGAAATGGTGCGCGATATCCAGGTACAGAGTCGAGGTAGCTGCAGGCAAATGTTTTATCATCCAGAGGGGAGGTTAAAGTGTAAGTCAGGCAGTTCCAGCAAATGTCTGCCTTCATCAGTTTGATGAATGTGACTTCACTTTATTCCTGAAAGCTGAAGTGGTTCAGATTACAGCTTCATCTGCCAGTCTTCACTGAATCACTTCCTCTCTCGCTAGACCGCTAACTTGTTGTTTGTTTGGTTTTTTGTCTTTTTTTTTCCCCCCTCTGTGGCAGGGTTGGAAGAAAGAACGGGTTGTGGCAGAGTTCTGGGATGGGAAAATTGTATTGATTCTTCCAAATGACCCAAAATACGCCGTCAAGAAGGTACGTGTTTGTTTATTTTGGGGGTTGTGTTGTAGATGAGCTTTCTGCTGGCTCAGCTCCCAGAACTACCTCAGTGTGTGATCATACGTCGCTTGCCAGTGCACGGGGCGAACAGGAGAGCTGAGTGGGGTTGTGGCAGCAACCCGGGTTGCTGTGGACACCCGCCCTGACACATCCTAACCCTGCTGTCTGCGCTGAAGCTCTTGTTCTTAAATGACCAACATAACCCGACCCTTTCTGTCCCAAAGACGGGGGTGAGAGGCAGGTGCGCTCTGCGAAAGGCGTAGGGGGATGAAGACACGAGTGAGAGCCTGTTCTTTAATGTTCTCTACGCAGTTAGAGCCCGGTCTTGTGTAAGCATAGGCTTATTTTGGAGAATGAGTCCCCTTTCGGGCAGGTTTCATGCCAGAGTCAAAGGATGTGCGTGTTGGTTCCTGACACACCTCTCTCCGGTTTTGTTTTCTTAGGCAGAAGATGTGCGAGAAATTGTAGATAATGAACTGGGATTTAAGCAAGTTTCTTTAAGCTGCCCAGCCAAGACTAAAATATACTTGTTTGTGTCCAACGAGAAGATGATTGTTGGGTGCTTGGTGGCTGAATCGATCAAGCAGGTATGTGTAACTAATTGTATGGGGAGGGGGTGAAATTGCAGGCTGGTAACGGGGGCTGTTTGCGTAAGCCTGTGTATCGGAAATCCTGGCTTAGCACAGGAGCGGGGAGAATAAAACTAAGGAAATAAAAAAACAAACAAAACCCCCCCCCCCCCAAAAAAAAAAAACCCAACAACAACAACAAAAAAGAAATGAAGTGTGCTTTTGTCAGGGTGAGGTGCTGCTGGCAGGAGTTAGTTGAGTTTGCACGGCTGACACTGCAGCGAGCTTCCACCGGACCCTGGTTTGGGTGCTGGTTTCTGTGGTGGTCTGCCCCGTAAGAGACAGCAGGAGGCAAGGCTGGGAGGCACGGGAAGGCCCGTGGCTCTGCGTCCCATCGGGAAGGAGCAGTTTGATGCCTCTGCTCGTCCCTGCAGGCTTTCCGCGTGCTGTCTGAGCCGGGCACGGCACGGCGCCGTCCCCCGGCCAGGACGCCCTGCAGCACCACCGGGCTTGGCGCTGCTTCACCGAGCCGGAGCCCGCCGTCTGCGGCGTCAGCAGGATCTGGGTGTTCGGCCCGAGGCGCAGGAAGGGCATCGCCCGTCGCATGGTGGACGTGGTCAGGTAGGCGGCAGCGGGGAGCCGGGATCCCAGCTGGGGTTTGTCCTTGGGGAGGAAAAACGATGATTGCAGCGAAAAGTGTTTAGAAGGAGCTTACGGACGGAGATAAATTTGCATCATTAAGCAAGTCTGAAATCCCCACTTCGTAGTGGAAGGATATCAAGTGGACAGATATTCTGTGTATATCTAATATTTAAGTAACATTTAAGTAAATATTAAATTATAGTGGTTAAACCTTGGACCAGGCTGCCCGGGGAAGTGGTTGAGTCACCATCCCTGGAAGTATTTAAAAGACGGGTAGATGAGGCGCTTAGGGACATGGTTTAGTGGGCATGGGGGTGTTGGGTCGACAGTTGGACTCGATGACCTCAGAGGTCTTTTCCAACCTTAATGATTCTATGATTTAAAGTCTGACGCAAGCGTGGGCCAAGCTGTTAACTGCTGGGTGTAACTGCAACACGGAGCTACGGGGACTGGATTTCCCAAGAGAAACTGTGCTTGTCGGGGGAAAAAATACCTTTTTTTTTTTTTTTTACTGGACAAGTTGATGGGCCCAAACACTTGAGTTGTTCCAGGCAGGAAATTCTGAGCTCCCAAACTGGGAGGAAGACTTAAAAACTTCCCCTCGTCAGTTAGTATGGACTGCCTTGGGGGGGAGCGTGGTAGTCCGTGAGCCCGTAGTAGCGCGTATCTTCTTTGCGTCGTATCTGCTCACTACATGTGTATCAAATACAGACCTATGAAGTGTATGAGTGCATACGTATATATGTTTATGTATTTATAATCGTACGCGATTGTAGCTGGGGCTCAGCGTTACGAAAACTCATCAGCCAGTGTTGGGTCTCCGCTTCCCCCTGTGGTTCGCGTTCGATGTGCTACCTCCGTGGTGCCTCCCAAACCCGCTGGCTGCGTGAGCCAGCTGGACCTGGGCCACCTGCGGGTGCCCACGAGAGTCCTGGCACTGCCGTGGTGGACTTCACTCAGGAACTGCTCCGAGATATTTAACGGAAACCTCCGGGTTTCCACCTAAAACTGTGTTTGGGGGGTTTGTGCCTGTATTCGGTCTTACGTTATCCTTCCCGCTAATTTTAAAATGCCTCCTGGTTCCCGATTACGCCAGAATCCAAGAGGGCAAACTGGCATCTCACAGCTCTCTTCTCCGCTTTGAAAGCAAAGCGACAGAAGAAATAACAGCTCCCTGCAGAGGAGGGCTGGGGGGGGACGGGGGGGGGACTCCCCTGTGGTGTGTTTTGGGAGTGGGGTGAAGCAGCCGGCTGGTTGCGGCGCGCCGATAGCTCCGCTCTCTCTTTCAGGAGCACCTTCATGTACGGCTGCTACCTGAGCACCGACGAAATCGCCTTCTCTGACCCGACGCCGGACGGCAAGCTGTTCGCAATGAAATACTGCCAAACCCTTAACTTCCTTGTTTACAATTTCATGTATAACAACTGATTCGACTTGAGTACTACAAGTTGAGGTTCGTTTAAATCATCGAAAATAATTTGATGTTTAAATTAACACTTAAGCGTTGTTACCTGGCTAAATG